ATATTTTTAGCAAAATCTGAATACAGATGTCAATGAATGGAAAGTAAAATATCTTAAGAAATACAAAAAGGTCCTGTCAAATCAAAATGCTAATTTGATACTATGAGTGCCAAACTTGTTTTGCTATGTGGGTAATCATATATCTGGTAGATCTAAATGTTAACTAAACATCCTCCTAATGCAACTGTAATTAACCTGAAAATGTCAAATCCTTCTTCTTCTGCAAATGATTTTTTCCACAAATTATCTCATCCTTTTTCTTAATATCGAAGCAATGCATAAGAAAACCACTCCCGCACGTTGTCAAAACAATTACAGATATAAATGAATCTGCGTGGTTCCTAATGAGAGATCGGCATTCCAAGTGCATCCTTCGGAAACAAAACTCTTATGATTCCATTTGGGCTTGTTTTTTATTTCGAGACTAAAATAGCATATTTGTATACAATCAAAAAACCGCTCCTACATGTTGCTAAGGCAGTCAAAGAAATGCTTGATTTCATATCTTTGAGTCACACCATCTTCATTAATCTAAACTGAAGGATTTCCACCCATAATACATCCTACGGAAACAAACAATTGTACAATTCCATTTGGCTAATTAATTCTTGACGTCTTCCGTATTTATAATCTGGAAAGGCCTAATACATGTATGTATGACAGCAGGAGTAAACAAGCACAGCATGGTTTGTATACAGGATAAATTGGGGTCTTTTCATGTTGTTGTAATCAATAGGTGTTGGCATTATTAATGCAGAAGGGATCACAGATGTATAGGCAACTATTATTTCTATCGATCTTTAAACGATATAAACAATTGTGCCATTCACCTACTCTTTAATGTTTTCCATCTTCATACTATAATATTCTTTCACTTTTGTTCACAGACATGAGATTGCACTTGTTTACCTCAGGGATGTATATTTATAAGCTAGCTATATCAAGAACAATATTTGAATCAAGATATAATTGCATTAAAAATCTGATCAAACCTATATTTATGATTTTATATTATCTCTGGCATTCAAAGTTGAATTCAAATTTGGCTCAATTCCCTAAAGATCTAGTTTGATCAAATAACCTTTCAATCACCTTTAAAACAACTTTCATAATTCCCATCTACCTATCAAACCTTTCACCACAAGATCTCAATATAGACTGATATTGCCACGGTAACCAAAACAAAATTTTAGAAGATGTAAATATCTCTAAAAGTCAAATTTGGTAGAAATATATTTCTGAGTCACAAGAGAGCTGATTATTAGAAAACCTTTGCCCTTTTCTACACAAATTTATTTATATCTGTCTTTTTGCGGGGAAGATAAACCCACCTTTATGATAGGAAAGACGAAAATTGGCAACAAGCTACAAAACAGAGATCTGATTTAGAGAGTGAATCATCTTTTCAGAAAAGGCCAAAGCTGATGCCCTTTTGATGAACTTTCAATTTAACTTTTTAGCAACAAAAAAGAGAGGATACTCAAATAATGCAAGTTTCATGTACCGAGCATGCAAATTAATCTGTACACATGTTTAATCTAATTATTACATGTTTCCTTTTTGCTAAATGAACATCAAAATGGTATCAGTGAAAGTACTGTCACATGATGTCATTTTATCTTGATATTATCGCTAGCTGAAAGCCATTAGCTTTTAGGGGAGTAGTGAAATTGAAAAAAGTTTGACAAATTTGGCACTGCAGAAATAATCTTAACAGAAAATTTTGCTGACTTGAAAGCCCACCCCCAAAAGACCAAGAAATGATCAGTGTATGAGATATTAGTCTTTGATGAATGAGGCAGTAAATGGTCAGAAGCACGATTAGAATGAGCGTAAAAGGGATGATACAATTTTATATTTTTCCAGTGTATATTTAACACATTCTAAGACAAATCAACATGACTATCTGTAGCAGTTACATTCTTAAATCTCAGATCAATGAATCAATCTTTATGGCTTTATCGTCTAAACAAAAATCCCTGTAATATTTCAAAATTGGCCTTCTCTATCTTGATCATAATCATGGGTGTTTATCCCTCCTTGTATCAAATTGTTTCATAAGTATCCTTAAAAACCCTCTCCATTTTCTCCTCTGTTAAGTAATTTTTGTTATATCTCCACCTTAAAAAAAACCACCAATATGTTTTCCTCTCTTTCCTGTTTTAGCTGTACCATTTTTGTTTTAACCCCTCATGTTTCCGAAACCTCTTTCCTGCAGAAGGCGATTCCCCACTGACCTTTTTGAAAGTTTGTCTCTGGTTACTATGGAAACCAAATTTGAGATGCAGGCAGTCAGTGCGTGATTCATTTTGATTTTGCCCTTCATCTATCTAATATGACACATATGATGTATGATGTAATCTAGGAGATTTTTGGTTATTTGTTTGATTATTGATTTTTTTTTTTGGGGGGGGGGGGGGGGGGGGGTACTCTACACAGTAAAAAGGATGCCCATCTGTAGGGTGCAGTTTCATAAAGCTTGTTTTGAACAATTACTGCCACATTACTATAACAAATTTGTCCACAGCCAATCAAATGCAATAACTTCAGTAACTTTGATAAATCACTTCAAGAAGGGCCCTAGTCAGAACTGTTTTAGGCTTCTCCTTTGTCATCTGCCTGCAAGAAGGCCCTTACTGCCAATGATGATTATAGTACTTACAGCCTTCTTGCAAACAGCACAATATTTCATTTTTTTTTAAATTTTAACATATCAAACACCTTATAATATGAGTTGCCTGTTTCTATTCATCATCCCCAAATAAATATAAAAAATAAAACCAAAGCACAAGTGCTTGAATATTACTCCCCCCTTTGATTATGAATGTATGCATTTCTTAGAAAGAAAACAAAAATGATTCTTCCAAGAGCATCATCATTACTGGACAGTATTCTCCAACTTTTGAGATTGTTCTCAAAGCACTTGCAATCACAAAAGTCTGATTCAATTATCACCGCAACAGGAAAAACAAATTTGAAACTATATCACAACCTTGACCAATATTATGCTTTTACCCACATAATTCCAAAAAGTATCTAAATTAAAAAATAACAAAAAACCTCTCTGACAACTTTATGACTGTTCATCACTTCTTTGTTTTTTCCTGCTTTGGCAAGGGGCGGAAAGAATGTTACATTTTACTCATAGCTTCTTAGAAAAGATTAAGACTCTTGTCAAGGAACAGGAAGTTTTGTGGCCCCTGTACAGACAAACTCTGAGTCACTTTCACAGCACCAACAAAATAAAAAGCCTGCAGTAAACCAATGGATAGTCATGTTACTGTGAAGAGAAATGGAATATACAAGATATAAAGCGAGAGAGAGAGAGAGAGAGAGAGGTAGAGAGAGAGAGGAGGGGGACTGAGTGAGGATGTGAAGAAATACAGAGAGGAGATAATGTAGATATGTCGATAGATGAAAAGAATATAGAAAAGAGAGATAGAGATAGAGATAGAAATAAAGTGTGAGTGAGTGTGTGTGTGTGAGTGTGTGTGAGAGAGAGAGGTAGAGGAGAGATATCCGTGTGTAAGTAAAGTCAAAGTTTCATCAATGTTTAGAGAAATGTTACATTTCTTTATACAAAATAGATTTGTGCAATTTATTGTTTAAACAAGAATACATCAGGGCCTTAACTTTCTTATTCTCTTAAATTTAACTTTTCAAAGTCTGTTTAGGAGAACCCTATTTTGATTTTTTTTTTTTTTTTTTTGGTCCATATATTCATGTGTACCAGGCACCTGATAGCTACAAACCCTGCATAAATCATTGAATGATAATGCTGTATCTTCAGACATCTCGAGTGGGGAAGCGACATCTATCAGTTGATATCACTTTGAAGGTTGTTCCTTTTTTCTTAATAGATAATGAGCTTCTAATAAAGATTGTTTTTCTGAAGGTTATTCGAAAGGATAAAGAATCATAAAAAGGTTTAAAAAGCCTCGCTACCTTTTAAGTAACAAATCAAGAATGATCGATTCTGAAAGGATAATAATAGATTCTCCAAAAGACTGTCAATCAAGTCATGTCAAGTTGACAAAGTGAAAGGTAAAAGGTAAAAGAACCCCTTAGATTTTTATAAATTGATGTATATGTAAGCCAGGGTAATAATTGGGAGCGCCAGGAGGGTCAAATCTGACTGACATGAGCGCTATACAAGAACCCACTATTATTATTATTATTATTATATTAATAATGAGTACCTGCTCTGAAGGCTTTCAATAAGCAGTGTCAAATTGAGAAGCTGACAGGTTTAAAAAAGTTTCCCTAAGGATGTAAAAAATAAATATTGAAAATATAAAGCTGCAATCTATAAGACTGTCAATCAGTCATGGCATGTTGACAAGATGAAAGGTAAAAACTCATCCTTAAGTTTTCATAAATTAAAGAGTATTGCAGTTCAGAAGTGGAACTAAAAAACTCTGTCAATCAGTTATGACAAGATGACAAGATGAAAGGTAAAGAAGCCTCCCTAGGTTTGTGTAAATTTATGGATATAAATATTATATAGCTGCCCTGATTAGTTGTCATATAAAAACATGTCAAGATAGAATGATGAACCGCTGCTGCTATAAATAGCTGTCACCGGGTACCAGGTCTATGTTAAACCAATGCAGGGTGACATCTGGATGTTTATTAATCTAATTAACAGTTCACTGAACTTTTCACATGACAAGTTATGAAGTGCCATGAGTAGATGGACAACCCTTCTGAATAACTCTTTAGAAGTACACAAATACATGGGAATCACGTTGGCCAATGGAACAAATTTCTCTGCCTGTCTATTATTCTAGTAACATATTCTATTTGTTTTTAAAGTCTTTTCTTTAACATAAATGTACCATGCAGTTGTATTTAAAGATTACCAGTTATATCTTTAAGGGTGTACAATTATTGCTAATTGTTTCTTTTAATGTACAATGTATTCATACCATTCCTGATACCTCCAATGGTTTGGATAGCAACATCTTTTGATTATTAACAAAAGAAAAAAAAAGTCTCACCTTTAGTTGTTTGATCTCAGCTTTCAGTTTGGTGATCGTGTTCTCTGCCGTTACAGCTCTTTCCTGCATTCAGTGAGAAAGGAAAATATACAAAGAGAAAGAAAGACACAAAATTAATGACTATCATTAGGCATACATTACAAAGATGTTAGTATATATTGTTTATGGTCTCCATACATAAAGCTGTTTTGAAGGATCATGAATCAGTTAGTCCTAGATATCTTCTCGTCTAAAAAGCTTGAGAACAATAGATCTTAAATCGGTTAGTCCTAGATATCTAGGCCTCTGTAAAGCTGAGAACAGTAGCTTCAAGAAACGTAGACATCACACTTTAACCCTCATTGTATCCAACCCTTTTGGTACCTGCACCAGTCTAGAAGATCTAGTCTCCATAAACCTGTTTTGAATGATCATTAATCGGTTAGTCCTAGATATCTTGGCCTCTGTAAAGCTGGGAACAGTAGCTTCAAGAAACGTAGACATCACACTTTAACCCTCATTGTATCTAACCCTTTTGGTACCTGCACCAGTCTAGAAGATCTAGTCTCCATAAACCTGTTTTGAATGATCATGAATTGGTTAGTCCTAGATATCTTGTCCTCGAATTCAAGCTGAGAACAATTGCTTCAAGAAACTATCACACTATCACCCATACTATATCTGACCCTATTGGAACCTGTGCCAGTCTAGAAGATCTAGTCTCCATACATAAACCTGCTAAAATGAAGGATCATGAATCGGTTCCCGCAAATCAAAACAGGATAAGACTGTGACTTGCGCTAGCCCCTTGGTGCCGATCACAAGTTCCTTACTCCACTCGTGACACACACACGCTGCTTTGATCAAAAACAATTACGTGACTCATGTCCCGATAAACCCTCATTCTGCAATGGCCTGACCAAACAGGGCTCTCTGTGTGTAGGATCTCTGCAATGGCAATGGGTCAGTCTGGCCACAATCTGAAAGTCATCCTGCATTCTACACTACACAAAGTTATATACCAACTGTATGCTACATAAACAGGTAGTTTAAAGATTGTTTGAACTAGGTGATTACCACAGTAGGGTTAATGTACATGTATTTGATTTTGTGTAATTCCTGCTGCATAGGCCTTTAACATGGTTCTATGACATAGTTGAACCCATGCAGAAGTGATGTTATACCTCACTCAGACCTCTTTAATGACTCCAGACTGACAAATACTTGGCTATTCCTCATGGCATAAAGTCTTGTTTGGGTGCTGTTGGTCTGGCATCGGTCTCGTTGGTGTGAATAGGGTGGTAGAGATGACACAAATCAAAAAGCAAAACTAGAAAGCTAACTTCTGTTGATCGAGAGATACAAAGGTCTGGAATAACGTTTCATGATTTGTGCTAGCGTCCCTCTATTTCCTAGCAGATGATATGAATACAATAATATACCATCTCCCTCTGTATAGTCTACATATACATGGGAGATACCCTAAAGATCATACAAGTTCTTTAATAACGTAGTTTTCCTTTTTGATTTTTTTAAATCTAATATACTTCAGAACATCCAACAAACAATTATCAACAATTGAGCACTATTTCCTGTGCCCACCGTATGACTAATGCTTTGTGCACAAGGAGGAAACTCTTCTCCATACACATGCATGGACACAATCACAGCCAAGTTTGACAGTGAGCCTCAAATAATGACCTAGTGCTTTATAGAAACTTGGCTCAATGTCTCAGTCATATAATTCTTGAGGTGCAAAGTAATTCATTCAAGATCATTTCTTTTAAGGTAGTCCAATGTCACATAATTTCTGCTTATGTGTGATTGTTCAATGCAGTACTGTGAAGTTGGCAAATGATCGTTTCTTTCCATCCCAAAATAATACATTACCAAATGAGGTTAATCCAGATTTATTTCATAACAGTTCCTTTTTATTTCGTAGTTTAGAAGGTTATCTGGCTCCATACCAATGACATGCCTGTTGAGAGTACAAGTTTAAACTGAAAATAAATGTGCTGCTTTTCCAGGAAAGACATACTGGTAATAGATTTCTCTTCTATTTGTAATTGTGCCTAATTGATGAAATTAAACAACCTACAAATGATATTGAAATATGATTATCATTTATCATTTATCCCCACAAATGAAATAATATATTGTCTGTTTGGAGCCAAAAGTGTGTTAACTTCGAGTAAAATTAGACAAGTTAATGACACCCTTCTGTCTCCAAACACATTATACCTCTGTTTTCAAACATTTGTAGCCCATGTCATTTTCCAGAACTTTATGTTCCAGAAATTTGAATTTAATACAACATGAGAGCCATGTCAAATATTGTGTATATTTATCTTGCCATTCAAATAACAAATGGAACTTTACAAAAAGTCAAGAAACTTGATTTTCAACCAATCAGGATGAAGTATTTTGGACTTTGTTTAATTTTGTCATCTGTGCATTCTTATGAACACAGGCTTAGAAATACTTTTTTTAAAATTAATTGGAATCTAATTTAATTTGCGCTGATAAAAATTCATATCAGAGTACTTATACACCTATCCTAATCATACTTCTTTCTACATATCAGTGATACCCGAAATACTATTAATTGCTGTCCTATTTGTCTAATTCTAACTGTATACCCTGAAACATATCCTAATAATATATATAATGATATAAGCCATACATTGATCACATAGCCACACCTACACAGAACCCAATGGATTATAATGATACCCAAATTGGAATAACCTACAGAATACCAGCATATTTTGCCCCACTTTTTGAGATTAATTAATAAATAAATAAATAACTATCAATTTACAAGAGTTTAATATCCTGATACCTTAATTCTACAGTTGTGATCTATCAATTATATTGATTAATTATGGTGTATTTCTGTTTTAAGCTACTTGATAATAATGGGAGCCTTTCGTTGTAAATGCATACTCCCATGAACATTAAAGAGCATATATGTTCATTCGTTCAGATCAACTTAGGATTCACACTATTATCAAGTAATTATAATAGCATTACTAACAAAATTTGGTGGCACAGTTACTAAACACTAGTTTGATAGTAGAGGGTTTACCAAGGTTTTGTCGGATGCACATAAAAGCTTATTAAAATCACAGGATAGTCCCTAAAAGGAAGCTTACTCCAATTATACAGTTATCCAATATTCCATTAAATCCTCATTTTCCCCTTCAAAAGCTAGTATGAACATATAATCTACACTCCAGAATTCAAATGCTGATAATTGATATTGATAAAAGTGTATTATCTTTAGTCCAGGTTTAACTAAGTAGATTGAGGCCAATGATCTATGGAGCAGCAAGTGTCATCCAACGCATTGCGTACAAATTAAGGTCTTTCTACATCGAATGATCAATAAATAATGTCAAAATGTGCTCTATTTGTATTCTGGATTTGCTGATTGTAAGGGATATTGTTGTGTTTTATTGCAAGCTTTTGGCTTTTTAATGTGAAATCAATGAATTGAATGAATGAATGAAAATGAAATCAATTTCTTGATTTCATTCATGCTTGGATACATTTTATTCATGGAGGTGTCGTGGTATAGTGGTTCATTCTCTTGACCCTCAATCTAAGGATTGAGGGTTCGTTTCCAACCCTGGCACTAACATCTTTTTGCAAGACATTAATCCATATTTTCCCACCCTCCACCCAGGTGTAAATGGGTATCCCATATGGCAGAGCACTACATTTTTCGGTCGCCAGCTATGACCTGGTTAACAATGTTAAAGCCCTAGGAGCCTCACAATGTAAAGGTCATGTGCTCTAGATGAGAAGCCATCATCATTATTTTCAAATACGTTTTGTTACAGGAGGTACTTTATAAATCGGCTGACTAATTAAAATCTACCCTGAACAAGGTTTAACTTGGTCGACCTCATCAATATAAGCCTTGAATTACTAAAATATAATTCTATTGGGATAAATATATAGTTGCGCATTGCTCTAATTATATACCCCTCTGCCCTTGCTCGTATCTAGTCCCCCTTTAACAGTGGATAAAGCCATGTGACTGGAATAATCACATGCTTTTGGCATTAAGTACTTAATTAGCCCCATTTGTTTCTCTTTACTAAAACCAGTAGGTGGTTTTAATTGCGTGAATCACTTGGCTTAATTTAGGTGGTTTACGTACAAAATCATTTACATTTTTGGATGCTGTCCAGCATTTTGGCATGCAAGGTATCACTGGTAATGGATACAGGATTATTAAGTTGTATAACACAAAAAAATGTATATTATATGAACACAGTTTTGCAATCCATTGAAAGTGGAAAGCAGCATTTGAATCTTGCCAGAAAAGAATGTATCCAGAAACAAATTTTGATTTGGTATGAAAAGCCGCAGCATTTCTGCTACTTGGCTTCTGCTTTGTGATGCCTGTATTTCTTCTTCCCTTATACCACCTCTTCTATTCTATCAGTCATCTTTTTTTCTTCTCTCTCTTTCTCTGTTTTTCCCTGCTCACTCTCTACTTTACTTTGTTCTCCTCTCCCTTCCTCTCATTCCCTCTCTTGTATACTGACCATAGTTTTGAGGTTAATTGGCTTCCACATGTTGCATCATCGTCTCCAGTGTCTTAGCATCTCCTGCTTGTCTCAGCTTATTTTTTTTATCTCCCTCCCTCCCTCCCTCCCTCCCTCCCTCCCTCCCTCCTCCTCCTCCTCCTCTCCCTCCCTCCCTCCCTCCCTCCCTCCCTCCCTCTCTCCCTCCCTCCCTCCCTCCCTATCTCCCTCCCTCCCTTCCTTTACAATCACCCCCTCTCTCTCTCTCTCTTCATTTCTCTCTTTTTCATACTGACCGTAATTCTTTTGAGGTTGGCCTCCACATGTTGAACCATAGTCTCCAGTGTCTTGGCATCTTCCGCTTCCCTCAACTTTAGTTTCTTGATCCCTCCCTCACTCACTCCCTCCCTCCCTCCCTCACAACCAACCAACCACCCACCCACCCACCCACTCTCCCTCAATCCCTCCCTCCCTTTACAATCACCCCCTCTCCCTCTCCATTTCTCTCTTGTTCATACTGACCGTAGTTCTTTTGAGGTTTGCCTCCACATGTTGAACCATAGTCTCCAGTGTCTTGGCATCTTCTGCTTCTCGTAGCTTTAGTTTCTTGATCCCTCCCTCACAACCACCCACCCACCCACCCACTCTCCCTCAATCCCTCCCTCCCTCCCTCCCTCCCTCCATTTCTCTCTTTTTCATACTGACCGTAGTTCTTTTGAGGTTGGCCTCCACATGTTGAACCATAGTCTCCAATGTCTTGGCATTTTTTCGCTTCTCTTAGACTTTCTTGATCCCTCCCTCCCTCCCTCCCTTTACATTCACCCTCTCTCTCCCTCCATCTCTCTCTCTACTTCATACTGACCGTAGTTCTTTTGAGGTTGGCCTCCACATGTTGAACTATAGTCTCCAGTGTCTTGGCATCTTCCGCTTCCCTTAGCTTCAGTTTCTTGATCCCTCCCTCCCTCCCTCCCTCCCTCCCTCCCTCCCTCCCTCCCTCCCTCTCTCCCTCCCTCTCTAGTTCATACTGACCGTAGTTCTTTTGAGGTTGGCCTCCACATGTTGAACCATAGTCTCCAGTGTCTTGGCATCTTCCGCTTCCCTCAGCTTCAGTTTCTTGATCTCTGCCTCCATACTCTCAATCCTAACATGACAAACAGACAGGCAGACAAGCGTGAAGGAAACCGAGCATTAGAGACGCCTGGTTACACTCAAATCATTCAATTACAGAGGCCCCTCATAATTCAATAATTGGATTCGGTGAGACTTTTCCTCTTCAGCAGACATTTCAGAGAGGAAAACTAGCATTGTGGATATTTTCCTATTCCAACAGACTTGTATTTTCATCAGGGTGAAATTAGTTCAAATGTAATAGGCATCCTTCACTATGAGTTCTAACTTTATCTTATAAAGTACTAACTAAAATTACCAGAAAATTTATGTAGAACAAAATAAAGAATAAAGACTTCTACATTTTAAATTCTACTGACTTTCCATGCTAGAAGGAGCATATTCCATCTAGATGTATTACATGACGCTAATGACAGTTTAAATAACAATATGCTTTTTTTTCGGCATCAGAAACAGACATATAATTCTGTGTTGAAGTTAATAACCATAAAATATTATATTGCCCAACTCCACCACGACATATATAGAATAAAAACCCAGAATTTCATCAAATGGAAGTGTAGTTGTTTGTATACTAAATGTTGGATATTGATATTCAAAAGTTAACAAAGACAGTCATGTCAAATATCTTGTCAATTTTAAAAAACAAATAATACCAGCATTCATATAGATCCTAAATATTTTAAGCAAGTTATAAACCTGTTTATATAGTTAGAGTCAGTGATGTGGGTCTACCATATTTATTCAGATTTCAGTTTATAACTTATCATTCAATACCTAACCATGATCAGTGTAGGTATATGTACAAGATGTTGTCTGGATTTGCTTGCATATGACATTACCAAAATGTTCAAGAACTACATAAATCTATTAAAGATGTGATGCAGAGATCATCATTGAAAAGTCAAAAGAGGTAGGACATTACCTTCAAATATCATTCTTATTTGAGGTAGGGATAGTACATAATTTGTTTGGTTCGTTATGACTTAAAAAATTATGTCACATCAATCTAAGATTCATAAACCTACTACATCAGATTATTATTATTATTGGCTTTCAGGGGTCACTTAATAATGAAGCATCTTATTCAAGAGTTCATATCATAGGTGCACAAATTGTGTTGAGATTAGGAAGTATGACTTGTTGAGAAGGAAGCATAACTCCTATTTTTATAAACTACTAATTAAATCCTTCTTTTGGTAAACCATTTTGAAAGTAGAAAAATGTGTCTCAAGGTATTCAAGTGGGTTTTTGTTTACCTCTTGAAAATGAAACAAAAAGAAAATATTAAAATAAAGTGATTAATTCCACTGGCCATAGAACTTATTAGTATCAAATATACATGCCATTAAATGATTTTTTTTCCCAGGACATGTAGTAAAAGCAGGGCCTACTACACTTCAATTTAATTAAAATCTTGGTATATTATGCAAATATTATGGCACAAGCACTATCGCATTCCTACATAATTAGAAACTTTATTATTGACTAGTTCATACACTTAATTTTCTTCAAAGATATCAAGAGTCTGACTCCTGGCTTAGGGGTAACATACCAAAAGAGGGAATTCTATTTCACAATTTCACACTTCTACCCGAGATAGTAAACGGAACCACAACAGTATAATTTTTACTACTAAAAAGCAAAAAAAAATTAAAGTAAAAAAGGGATAAAGAGAAGGAGACAATGTTTGTTCGATATTGGTATATCAGAATACATGTATTCATTGCCAAAATAACGAACAGGTAGCTTAGAATTCTGCTTTCTAATACAATCAAAATTCAACATAGAACATCATAGAGATAGTACCCCAAGTTGTACAACTGATAACATGTAGACCACAATGCATAAATACTTGTTGTAACTTACCTTTGACAATGTAAACATCGTCAATTACCCGTTTGACAATTTCAAAATACGTTTCCCATGAAATAAGAAGGTGAAGAACTCACTTTTTGCTGTCTTTGTCAGAGGCTTTCCGACTATCTGCTAACTCCTTCCTCAGCTTACTATTCTCTTGCTTGAATCTAGCCAGATCAGCAGAACTCACACCATTCTCAGTCCTATCCCCTTGGGGTGGGGTAGAGGACCTGGGCGGGGTGTCCCCCCTCTTGTTCTTATCAAGCGTGGGCATGGCTTCATACGGTTTCTCTGTCATGGAAGAGTCATGCATCGAGACGTCCGGCAGGTTTTCGTGACTTCTATTATTGTCCCGAGAGCTAACGTCCAGTTCGTTTGTACTGGAGGAGAGTTTGCTACGATGTCCATTTTCAGTGGGCTTAGCGGGTTTGGGAGGAACAGCCAAGAGATTGACCACGTGTTCCCTGTCCGAGGCATCGCTCGAAGAAGACGTGCCCTTATGTTTGTTTTGATTCTTGGAGTCACTTGAGCCCTTCTTGCGGTGGCCGTGGGATTGCGCTCTGGCCCTCTCCCTGTGTGGCTTGGGCTCTGGAGCAGCCTTGGCCCGTGTGAATTCATCATTTCCCGCGTTCATATCGGGCGCAGCGAGACCCGTCGACGAGGAGTAGGTCTGGGCATCCTGTGAAGCATCGATATAGTCCACAACCAATGTGCTCTTTGTGTTTGGTTTATTGGCAGGTGACTTGTGTTTCCTAGCAGCATGGCCGTGGGTATGCGCCCTAGCCCTCTCTCGCCCTTGTTTCTTATCAACATGCTCTCTATGCCCAGCTAAGTCCCCACCCAACACCGCATCATATGCCTTATTCTTTTTGTTGGTTGTATCCTCACCAATCTTATCGTTACTCTCCTCCTCCTCTCCTTCACCATTCTCTTTTGTGGCGTAGTCGTAAATAAAATCCACAAACTCGTTGCCCTTTGCTTGGTTCTGTGCAGTGGCAGCCTGCTGTTGTTGTTGGTGTGGGCGTTGCTGCTGCTCTTGTTTTGAAGATGACTTCATGTGCGTGGGTTTAGTGGGTGTCGGAGGGGCCGGCGTCCCTCCTGCAGTGCTCTGCACGCTGCGGGCACCCTTTCTCCCTGCTCGGTTGGGCATTCCAGGACTGGTTGCTCGTCTTAGATTGGTCCTGCCGTTGCTGCTACTGCTGCTGCTACTGGTGCCGTTGCTGGTGGTCCCAGAGTTTGCATTGCTCACCTCTGGGGCGGCGCCCCCCGATGGTGCGCTACCATTTTGGTTGCCCATGTCTTCCGTCTGATTAGGATAAAAATAGACAAGAAACCAAAAGTACATTAAACATGTGATGTCTAAGCTGAGCTTCCTCTGCATAGGCAACATGCAAAGTCTCTTAAATCTATGACTCTACTGACTGACCTGTCCCAACATAGAACTCTAGCATAGCCCACTGCGATGAATCACAGTAATTTAGCGCTAGTGGAAAAAAATATCATCCGTAAGTCAGTACTTCGAGGAAGGGGAAGAGACCATAAGCCCCCAGGATTTCAAAGTAACGATCGAAAGAAAAAAGAAAATTACACATATGAGGGGGCTGAAAGACTTTTCTAAAGAAGCCAAAAGCACTGATTTCCTGCAAATGTTACCCAAGATTACGACTTATTGCTGTGTCACAAAGCCTTCAACCAAGTCACACAGAAAAAAAACCAAGACCGACTCAGCTAAAGCCGATATGTCAGCCAATTAAACATTGGAGAGCAATATATCATTCCAAGAAAGAAAAAGTTTTGGTTAACCATGAAAGTAAAACATCACATTACCTGGAAGGTCTTGAAGAGACGATTGCGACACTTTGTTAAAACATACATTTTGTCCTAGGCATTCCAGGGTGCAAGAAACAATCCAATAAATTCCACTTATGGACAGAAACAGAAAAACAAACAAATGCCAAACTTGGAAGAAAAGAGTTGGGCGCTTGATGTGCCTGCCTGCTGACGGATGAGTCGCATGCACACACAAGAGCGCAGATTTACAAACTGAGCCTTTCGAACAAGAGACAAGGGGATAGCGAGTTCAGAAAGCGCACACACACACACACACACACACACTGTGGATTATTACGTAGACGGTTTGCCCCCCTCCTTATTATGAGTTCCCGTTGTAGATCGAGGCAGGCCCATTGGTTGCAGGTGAAGATGAGTCAGAGTCAGCAGAGACTTCTCCTACAGCCTCATTCACACATGACTCTTTAAACCCAACTCACAAACCCGGGACAACAATATTCATTGTTATCTAACTGTTATGTGCTTAAAACTTCGGTATCTCACAGCAGAAAAATGGAAAAGCTCAGGGTCCTTGTTGCACGCGGCTAATTGCTTCCACCCTACATGCCATTAATAGATTTTTAATAACGATTTTTTTTTTTTTTGCTGCAGAATTTTTTTTAAAGAACGGTTTACCACCTCCTGTGTGAACAAGGTTCGAAACTATGCTTTTCATTTCCCCACTTCTCACTATCTCTTTCCCCCTCTCTGCTTGGGACATGTATGTAATGAGGCTATAACTTTTAATGTTTCCTTTTCTAATCACATTCATTTTAACCTCTTTCTCATCACCAAATAAAATCGACAACATTTCACCCATCCCCTCCTTTTTATTATAAAGAACAAAACATCAAAATCTGGGTCTCCTTTCTTATGTTAGATACTTTTGTCACTTTATCAATTCATTAACTAATATGTCTTTGAAAGTATTCTGTATTATAGGCACTTCTCTTAAGTTCTATATCTGGCTTCCTATCATAATTTTTCTGTTTCCCCAATAAAAGCAAACAAACAAACAAATCTACAATATTCTTATTTACTTTCCGCCTCTCCCTCTATAGAATGAGCTTGAGGTATTTTAAAATCTTTTAAAAGTTTTTAATGTTTATAATTTCTCTTACACTTTTTTTATTATTTTCATACCTACAAATATGCTCCACCTCCTTAGTACTTACCCTTGCACGCCATCCTCTCTCTTTCTCTCTGTCTCCCGAACTCTCTAACTTTCTCTCATACTAGTAGCCTTGAAGACAATCATGGCTCTAAAAACTAAATGAAGAAAGGAGAGGGCAACCTGTAGATGTCTCACTTCCAGTCTATGTTGGTAAAGTTATTTACAAACTCTAACTCGGATCTGTTGTGACAGTGTTACTCCCATCAATGGCTTACAGCTCAGCTCAGCTAGAAAGGATATTGGGTATCGCAAAGGGGTGCTTTGATCTGCTAATTAGGTTAAGGGAACAACAACCTATACATCACTTAAAGGGAGACACTACCTTGATGGCAAACTACTGTAGAGGAAAGCAGACAAATCAAGGGAGGAGACTGGTGAAAGTTTGAATGAAATCAGACAAAAATTTACAAAGTTATAAACTTTTGAAATTTGTAATCACTATAGGTACGGGCTATTCAAATAACAAATATATTACTCATAGGGGGGGGGGGGGGGGGGGGAGGAGATTCTCTTCATAACTTATAATAATATGCTATCCATAATATATTAATAATAATAATAATTATTATTATATATTTTGAGTAGAGCCCCACGGGAGAAAGCACCTAATAGAAAAACATAAATTAATGACATTTTCTTACACAACAAGAGGGAAAGTTATCTACAACTACGTCACAATCCACTGACCAAACTGCCAATTCGAAATTCTTATCTTATTTGTTTCTGCTTTCATACAAATGAACTTATTACAAGGGTTGCATTGCCCTTTAAGCTCCTCACCTCTCTAGTTCTCCCTCCCTCTCTCTATCTCTCTCTCCCTCTCTCTCAATAAAAATTCAAATATTGAAATAAATCCTACAGTTCTAGGAAAAAGAGCAAATTAAAAAGGGATCTTATCGTGAAAAATTAGGGATTCAACAAAACCCATGTATGATAAACACACACACACACAACACAAATAATTTCCCCCTATATCTTAGCAGACAGGAAGCGACAATCAGTAGAGGTGTTACATCGAGGTCTCTACTTTGAAATGGAGTTTAATTTTAGAGTAGTCAATCTTCCTATTACCTCAAATTAGGAAAAGAAAATTGCGTTAATTAAGCCACATGCTGAATCATGAGATGTTCAACCTTGGAGGCAACATACTCTATTCTATGTCAAGTCAAGACCTTTTCAGATACAACGCGGTAAAGCACCGCAAAAAAATTGCAGTGTTTAAAAAACATGTGGTTAAAACAACAACATATAAAAGAATGGCAACTGCACACAACAAAGATCCTGTGTGTATGCGCTGAGCTCTGTGCTATAAGATACAGAAGTATGATAGGTATTACACGTTACATCATCATATGGATGAAAAAACGCTGCGGTTTTGCCGTGTCGTATCTTAATGAGGCCTTATAATTCTCCCTGTGACAGACACAATAAATCATCTGCTCAGAGCCAGAAGGGCGTTAACTCTGTGTTTTAAGTATGTGAGTTGATGCCTTTCTGAGTCCGAATAGTCAACATTTGGATACTGAACTTGATAACCTCTTCTGCGGTATTGCGTTTATAAACAAATCATCATTAACTTTCCACATTTCCTATTTATCATTAAATTTCTCTGCAAATCTCATATCAATAAGCGTTATATTTATTATTCATTTGATTTTCTGACAACCATATATTTCAAAGGAGCATTTTGAGGAAATATGTAGTCAATAAGCACAAAAAATTAAACAAATATATTGTTTGCTAATATTTCCAATAGTATGCGCATTAACCCATTGCCTACTGTAACCAGGTGGATCCTGTATTAAACCTATGGGGCACATTATAATTCAGGAGTCAACAGGTTAAATAGAATACACTGCTGATCACACATTCATTGACAAAACAAGCAAATGTGCACAACCTTTAAGATCTAAAGTAGATGTTGAAGCATTACGTCCAAATATAGTTTCTGTTCATGAGATGCCATCTTGTAGTTTAAGCAGAAAGAGTGCCATGGGTCTAGAAATGTTCATTCTACTTGTTTTACAAAAGGTGTTAAATAAATACGAATGGTCCTTATAAGCATAACATATGAAATGTGAACAGAGAGATGTTTCTTCCACAATGTCAGATCAAATTTTCAAGTCAATTGCTAGTTAGTATATTTTGAGGAATTAATTAATTAAAAATATGATTATTTTCATGAGTGTAAGCCCTCTCATAGCCTTTCACAATTTGGCATTTGTAGTGTAAACTGTTTATTTACATTTTCCTTTTAAACAAAGGAGAGGAGATCCGCTCTCACATCTGCAGGGAAATAGTTTCCTTTTTAAAGTTTCTTTGAACACTCATTATTCTTACCAAAAAAACTCACATCCACATCCATTTCTGCTCTAATTGTTTCAACTGATCGAGAAGCCTTGAGAATCCAATCACTCGTCTCACTGTTAATCCTCCCACTTTAACAGTGCACAGAGTCAGTGATTAACAATGAATCACCAGTGGGAGGAAATTCACTTCATCTACTCAATGACAATTCAATCACATGTCTCCATTGACCATTATACAAGCCATCAATTTAAACAAAGTTATATGATAAAATAACATTAAGTGTTTGAAAATGAACTGTTATTAGTTTTAAACACCAATTTGGAAATGATTGACATGTACATATACCCCCTCGCTTTTTTTCCTAGATATATTTTTTAAAACTATTGTTAAATAAAACAGTTAAGGGATTTTAAAAATGTAAAACTTTACCTCGGAATACTTAAAAGAGAATATTAAGCTTTCAAAACGCATAAGATAATAATAAAAGCAATTGGGCTAAGGTACTAAAGATCCAGGGGGGGGGGGGGGCGGGTATTTCACAAAGAATAAGATCGACTTTAAGCTGGACATAACTATGGCAGGCTGTTCATGCCACTGTTTGCTCTTACCATTTACTGGCATTGGTCTCTCAATGGACGTACAAATCATGGTCACAAATTTACAAATTAAAATTTCTTAATAATTCATTATTGAAGGAAAAAATAGTATCTAAAGATCATAATAGCGAGAGCAAACAGTAGCATGAACGGCCTGCCATAGTTACCGTAATTCCAACTTAAAGTCGATCGCAGTCTTTGTGAAACACTCCCCAGGTGTATATACCTACAGGTGCATGACCTAATACCTGGCTATGACCTTTCAGAGTATATTTATACCCAGGGAGATCATAAGGGTGCTTAGTAGGAAGTTATGATGACTAGCTAGTACCAAACCTAGTTATGTTACTCTTAGGTCTCGCTTCATGATACCATTACGCAGATGAATCATGTCTT